GATTCCTGCCTGCACCGAAGCGCCACAAGCCGGAAGTGTGGCATTATTTTGCTTCTTGAGTGCTTCACTTAACTCCATCATCGTTACATTGCTTTCTAACATTGTTTCAATCTCTTTAGGTATCTGGGGTAACTTAGCATTCTGTAGGTACTGTTTGACTCTTTCCTCATCAATATTCTCTTGTGTGTATAGTTTCCCATAATAGTCTCGAATGATTTCCTTCTTCTCTTTACTACCATAGCAAACTTGGCCTTGATCATCCATTAATTGCAATATTTTCCTTGATTCTTTCTCCTTTCTTAATTTATATGCTAACCATCTACCTGGTTTATTTGCATCTTCAAAGTAATTCTGTTTTAGCACCTTTAATTTTCTGTGCTAATTCTTTTTCTATTAGACCCATTTTATGTTTGGTTATATCCATTTTTAACTTAGTGTCCTTTTTCTGTGGCATTTTCTCCTAGCTCTTTTTCCTTTATACTCATCCTATAATGCCTTAGAGGCTAATCTTTTCATGGTATTTCTTTTCCTTGTATAGTCTATTATCGAGCCTCTGGCATATGCCTTCATTGTATCCCATACATTCTGAATTGATATATCTTCTTTTTTGTTTTCTCTAAAGAAAAAAGCCAGTTCTTTCTCCATCCACTGTGTGAAGTCTTTTTCCTTTAAAATAGTATTATTTAGAGTCCATCTAGATCTTCTTCTTTGTCCTTTCCATTTAATTGTCATTGGATTGTGATCTGCCCAAGTACTTGTTTCAATATTTATTTCTTGAATATTAGTTAACAATTCTGTTGACATCCATATCATATCTATTCTGGACCATGATAAGTGTCTATTTTATTGCTTAGTTTTAGCATTTCTTTCTCTCCATGTATCTTTTAAGTTTATTTCATCTACCATATTAAAAAAGGATTTAGGGAGAGTCTTTCTGTTTTGCTTTATTGTTTTCTGTGCTGTATAGTCCAGTTTGTTGTTTACAATTCCATTAAAATCTCCCATCATAACTATATTAGCATAGTCCAGTTCAATTATTCTTCTTGTTTGTCATTCGGGGCATAGATTGCAATCAGGAGTGTTTTTGTATTATTGTCCATTATTTCCACCATTATTCTTCTTCTATCGTCATCAGTATAAATCAATTTCGCTGGGATGGTCTCTTTAATATATAAAACCACTCCTCTTTTCTTGCATTGTGTCAAGGAGGTAAATATTTTCCCTAGTTTTGGCTGTATCAACAATTGTTCATATTGCTTTTTAATATGTACTTCTTGTAGGCAGATTATATAAAATTTTAATTTCTCTAATTTATGGAAAGTTTTCCTTCTTTTAATGGCTGAATTAAGTCCATTTATATTAATTGTAATCAATTTTTTTCTCTTCCATGGTTATATTTTATAATTAGGTTTGGCAGCTCTCGTGGATCTTGGTTCAACGTTGTCCTTTGGCTTCCTCCTTTCCACCTACTGCACCTTCCTCTTTCCCTCTGAAAAATTCTGTATAAAATGATTCAGCTTTCTCAATTGAATCAATTCTGTATCTCTGTTCTTCCCATGTGGAACATTAAACCTTCTGGAATCAGCCATCTATAATTCACCTCTTTTTTAAGTAGCAATTTGGTCAAGAATCGGTATTCTCTTCTCATCTCTCTTGCTCTTCTGGGTACTTGTTTCAAAATGACAATCTCCTTATCTTTATATTTCAATGTTTTCTCTCTTGCCACTTGCAATATTTGCGTTTTAATGGCTTTCTTTGTAAATCTGATGTAAATTTCTCTTGGTAAGCTATTTCTCATTGCATATCTCGTGAAGACTCGATAAACCTCATCTATTCCATCCATCATCTTCTCTTCAGTTATTTCCAAAGCTTCAGCCAATATTTCTATCATTATCTCAGCTAGATTTTGTCCTTTTTCTTCCTCTATGTTTTGGAATCTGAGATAAAATTCTGATCTGTCCATCTCCCATCTCAGCATACCACTTTTATCTTTTTCAACCACAGTTAATCTGGTATCAATGTCTCCAATCTTCTTATCTCTTTGTTTATCTTCTTCAATTTTTAGTAGTCTCTCATCATACTTCATCATCATTTGTTGGATGTTCTCGACTTTTTCATCAGTTTTCCCTGTTCTTTGTTCAATGTTCTCTGTTCTCTTTTCAATATTCTCTGATCTTGTTTGAATGTTTTGAATTCCTTGCATAATCATCTGCAGGGTCACTTTTTCTTTTTCTTTTTCTTTCTCTTGCCTTAACATTGTCTGTATTGAACATTGTCCTCCAGATGGTGGAGAGGAGGAAGTAGAAGTTGAAGAACCAGGAGCTGTTAATTTCCTACTCATTTCAAACAATTCAAAATCTTCAGGTTCTTCTAGACCTTAATCCAATTGTGAAGTAACCAATTGCGATTCCAAATAAAAATAGTAGGGAAAAAGAAGCCAAATAGTAATAATAATAAAAATAATAATAATAATTTCTTCAGGTTCTTGTATATCTTAATCCAATTGATTAGTTAGATAACAATGAAAATTCAAAAATGAAGGAAAAAACCATAAACATACACAAAGGAGAAAAAGTTGTAAAATCCTAAAAAAGACGGAAAAGTAAAGAATAGAAAACTTTAAAAAGGAAAAATTCTTCAGGTTCTTCAACACCTTAATCCAATTAAGAGGTCTCAAATATAAAAGGCTGCATAAGAGAAAAAGAAGAAAAAAGCCAGGAAGATAAAAAGAAAGAAAAAACCAGTATTGGAAGTAGATGGAGAAACAAAAGTACCAGAAAGGCAAAAAGAGAAAAAGAAAAAAAGGCTACTCTCTCAAAAAGAAAAGGAAGGGAATCATTAATAATAAAACCTTTCTTTTAAAATAAAAAACAAATGTAAAAAATTAACTTCCAAAGAAAAGCATTTAAAAAAAGGAAAGACAAGTTCCAAAGAACTAAAAATCCAAATAGCTATTTCAAAAAGTAAACTGTTGAGGAGGGGTAGCACAGCTTAGGAAATATCAAGAAAACACACTGCACTTTGTTTAGTTATCCAAGGCTCTTGTTATAACACTCTTCTCCAGAAACTTACCACCTTTTCTTTTTCTATAACCTTCAGCACCAGACTCCAACTGTTGATAGAAACCCAGAAGAGCACCTGCAATAATACTCTCCCATGCTCTTCCCTCTATCTTATCAAATAGCAATGTCCTTGAAAAAAAGTCTCAGTTCTTTCTTTCTCAGCTTTGTCTGGTCACAAGAGAAATAGAATATTTCCAAGCCTCTAGTTGGCAATGTTACAAAGTTTCTTTGCTTTCACTTTCCCCCTCCTTTTCCAAGCAAAATGCAATAAGAATTAATGAAAAAAAAAAGAAAAAGATATTTTTAAGTCCAGTTTCAAAATATAAGATCATGTGTAGAAAATCCAGCAATGAGAAAAAAACATTACTTTGACATTCCTGTTTAAAATCGCCGCTTAATCACTTCTGTCAAAACTTTTACAGATTCTTTCTTTTCCTTAGGGTGTCCTTTCAGATCTTAGAATAAAGAAAAAGTTCTCACCAAACCGGCACACTCTCTTTTTCTGTTCTCTTCCGTTTCGGAGCTGTCCCAACTTCAGCAGCTTTAATGGCTGCCTCTTTGCCACTGGCAAGAAGAGCTTCTCATGGATCTACCAGGGACTTTGCGGTGTCTGTGGGATCGACAGGATGTGCTCTTCACTTTCACCGTCTCGTCGGGACGGTTTAGATCCGATAGGATCGTCCAGGAGCAAAGATATTGGCAGCGATCTCAGACCTCCAAGATCGCATGCCGTATCGTCGTGACGCCAGCTCTGCCCTCTCCTGTACAGGTCCACTATTATGAATCTTAGTAGGCATGTGGTCTAAATTATTAATAAGCTAAAAATATAAATCCAATGTATGATATTTCTCCATATTTTTCATACTGGAAATTTAAAAAAATCAAGTAATGCTTGCTAAATATGTTCAAGCCAATAGTGGCAGAAGGAAAAGAAAAAAAATTGAGATTAAAAGTTTATTTGCGCTTTAAGGGTATTAGGTCTTTGCAGAGGACTGATAAAAGAGTTACTTGGGTTAAGTTGGTTTGCAATACTGCACCAACAGATTTAGGGTGATTCCTGCCTCTCCTTTTAAATCATTCAGTTTTCTTGGGAAAAGGCAATCCTGCAAATTGTAGTAGAGAAGAGAAAGTCTAGAACAGGCTTGTCCAACCCACGGCCCAGGTCAGCTTGTAATGTGGCCCAGTGCCCACCCCAACCTTCGTGCAAGAGGAACGAGCCAGCGAGGAGGAGGAGGAGAGGCAGGTGCGAGGCGGGGCGAGCCGAGCGCCACGCCAAGCAGCAACAGAAAAGGCGGGCGCCATCAGAGCGCTCCTCATGCCGAGGCAGCCACAGCCCAAGAGTCCCACTCCGCCACCTCCTGCTGTTGCCGCTGCTGCTGCCGGAGCTGTTGTAGCGGCTTCTGCCCCTGCAGCCATTGCCACTGCTGCTGCTGCACCGAGCCTCCCGGTCCTCACCTTCCAGTCCTGCCACATCCAGCCGGGCCATTTGCAGGAGGAGAGGTAGGCGCGAGGCGGGCGAGCTTTCTTCTCCGCCCCCCACGTTCCTTTCTCCCTGGTTGACTATTTTTTATGATAACTTATGAAAAAAAATGTTTTCTATGGTTTTTTTGGATGTTCAGGTATCGTTACTGTTATTTTATCTTATGTGCGGCCCAAACCAAATTTTCATCTTCTAATGTGGCCCAGGGAAGGTGAAAGGTTGGACAAGCCTGGTCTAGAATTTTCCCAAGGTGAATGGAAAACTGTTAACATAGCATTGAGGGGGGGTAGTAATCCCACTCTGAGCTTTTTAGAGAAAGGTAAGATACAGATAACGTAACATAACTAAACAAAGAAAGAAGTCATTTCATGCATTTAGGGGTCACTTAATTTTTCATAGTGGTTTTCTCTTCCACATGAGTATTTAACATTTTGCATTATCCTTTTTTTCTTTGACAGTGGATATTTTGACTGCACGTCAGAAAAAAGCTGAAGAATTAAAGAGACTAACAGATTTGGCAAGTCAGATGGCCGAGACTCAGCTGGCTGAATTGCGAGCTGAAATTAAGGTCAACTTTAAAAGGGTATTTCTCTTGAAAACAAACATAGCTGTTTACAGATAATGCATCTGTTTCAGCACTTAGAGCCACAGGTTCTCACCACAAGGCTCGAGCAAAGTATATATCTAGCTTTTTAAGAATGGCATCTTACTTAAAACTATGCTATCTCTCTTGTACTTTGTAGCAAGAGTAGTAACAGTATTCAGTATGTATGTATAAGCATAATAATATTCCTGTTTTTCTTTCCAGTTCTATTAAAGTTGCAGAATTTTTGGTTTTATTTTGAGCCTCATGCTTAACTCCCTTGTATAACTCTAGTTTTTTTTTTCCAGTGACAAGCACTCCCTCTATCAAATGTGAGGATTCTGAATCAGATTTTACAATAGCATTTTATAAAATAGAAAAAATATCCAAACTTTTAAGATTGGAACACTTATCTCCTTAAAAAGCTTTAGTTCAATACATTAGACTTCAGTGTGATTTTCCAGTTATTTAATATGTGAGGCTATTTATGTTACTTTTCCCTTCATTGTAGCACTTTGTAAGTGAACGTAAATATGATGAAGAATTGGGTAGAGCTGCCCGCTTTTCCTGTGACACTGAACAATTAAAAATGCAGATATTACAGTGTGGAGAAAGTAAGTTGTAGTAAAGTCTCAGCTTCTTCATTAATTGCTCTTTAAAACACTTGTTAGAACCATTTTCATAGCTAGTAAATATAATGCCTTTGGTTTAATTTTTCTGGAATTCGTGTCAATATATTATATGATAAAATTTGCATTTTTTTTTGTAGTTTTCCATCCAAAAAACAATTACTCCTCTAGAACACCATCCAGTATGTTCCTTCAATCAGAAATTTTAAAATCAGTGACCAGCACGCAAAATAAATGTAACCAAAAATATTCTAATCAGATTCCTGCCAAGACTTCTGATCATAAAACAGCAATAACTAAAGTTTCAAGCCAAGTTCTCCCGGTTACACAATCATCTTCTCATGTAATTTCTACAAATAAACAGGTAAAGGCCAAGGAAAAAGTTTTGTCTGTGAATTAGAATAAAAATTATAAAATTAAAAATTTACAACTGTATGAGAAACATCTTATAGTTGAGATTATTTTCATCAGGTCAATTTCTTCCCAGATTTAGAAATTCTTTTAAATGCTGTACTATTAAAAGATTAGATTCTGCAACAACTTTGGATTTGATTTATATAAGTGACTTTAAGACACTTTTAAGCTAATTCTTATGTTCTTAAAATTTAACAAGAGCAGAATATGGTTTTTTTCAGTCAAAAATGAGCCGCATTGATTAATGAATTGAAGACATCACAACGATGGCTTAATCTCACATCCATATATGAATCCTTTTCTGTCTTCCATTTATACCAACTCTAGCTAGCTAGCTGATGAAATGTCTCCAGAACAATGAACAAATTGATGAATGAATGATGTATTACTTCATTCTTTTGGAAGACAATCTGTTGTTCCAAAAGTGTTTTGGAATAGGCTTAACTGTTGTTATGTCCAGGTTTATTCAGTGATGGCTATAAATCTGTCTTCAATTAATCAATTTGTAATCAATTTGGGGTTCTCTTTGAAACAATGACTCCTTTTAAAAGAGCAAGTGGGCAACCATGGCCAGGGGTCCTTTGCACAAATTTATCTTTGTGTGCCAATTGCACCCATTCCTGGACTAGTGTTGCACCCATTCCTGAACCAAATACTGAACACTGAAAATGTTTCATTTTCCAAAACATGGTAAAGTTGAGCTAAGCCAGGTCCAGTGTCATTTTGTCTTACTGTCAGAAGAATGCAATTACAGTAGCAGCAATTCAACCAAATTGCCAATAAGTAGCTTATTGTTTTGTTATCTTCCCACCCACCCCCAGTTCCCCCAAAAGGAACTGGGGAAGGGTATGATTTTTATTCTTCCAGCCAGTAGAGGCAGCAAAGTTGATGGGGTCATTAGAACAGCCTCAATGATTGTTGTTATATTATGCTGACATGCATAATATAATATATATGCTTTGGTAGATGTAATAATCCCACCTAACTTTTAACAAATTGAGCTAAAATTGCACTGAAATGAGTCCTAATGTTCTCTTTTCTTCCTGAACAGAATGTGTCTTCAGGTCCGAGACGAAGATTTCATGCACACTACCATGGCATTCGAATCGATAGTTCTCTCAAGCCCCAAAATCCTGGTGATGAGCCTGATCAGAGCAACCCGAAAAGTCACTCCCGACATGAATACCGACGGCAGCACCATCATAGCTTTAGGCCCAAAAACAGAGGCATGGTAAAAACTCAAGAGCAACCAACTCCCATAAAAAATCTAGAAAAGGGAGCATATCCAGAGAAAAAACAGCAAAAGCATACTATTTCAGACCCTACAGAGCCCAGTCCTTTGTGCAGCAATATAGCGAGAGGTTCTCCCTGTAATTTATGTCCTCCAAGAATAGAGACTTCTGGAGAGACACCTGTCCTTTCAGTCACGGTGCCAGCTGTGACTTTGGTGGCATGATAACAGTAATCTTAGTTTTTTCACTAAAGGTGCTTCTCCCCTCGTGTACTCTACAAGTACTGATGAAATAGCTTGAGAAAAATATTACAATTGTGGTAAACCAAACTTGCTAAAATGGTCTTAACTTTATCTTGTTTTCTACATGGAAAGCTTTGCTCAATATACTCAAGATTATTTTTTCATAATAATGTAGCTTTAGCCAGCAGTACTTACAGATCTACTAGACCGATATTGAAAAATAAACTGTAAGAGGATTACAGATAATGTTAATTACTGCCCAGTTTGTTTTCAGTCATTCAGTATTAAAAAATTAAAATATTGGCATCTCTAGTAGTATACTGTTATGTAAATACATAACATTTTTCACACTTCCCATATTAGATAGAATTCAACAATTGTATATGACAGATCTCATAGTTCTGTGTGACCTAATGTCATATTCAGAAAAATACTCAAGATCAATCATAATAGTAGAAAAACTATATATTAATTGTTCCATGCTATAATATTTGTAAAATGTCTGTTTTTTTTTCTTTTGAAATTTATATAACTTACACAGTACAGTTTTTCCAAACCTTTCAGTTCTTTTTAATGACTGATTATTTTTGTAGACTAAAAATTGAATGTGTTTCAGTCTCAGATTCCTTTTTTTTTCGGGAGGGGAACTATTCCTACTTGAGTTCAAGAAGGCAAACTTAACATTCCCTACTATTGCAATAGGCTACTTCATCTTCCACCAGCCCTCTTGAGCCTCTGATGCAATTACTGTGACCATCTTTGCTGGGAGGGGGAAAGGGGGCAAATTCACCTTCCTTCCCATTAGTTATACTATCTCCTTAAACATAAGGAGTCTCACAAATCCTTATCAAATATCTTAACCAATATAAGCATATTACCTTTTCTTTCTTCTCACACTGCCAAAAATGATGAGGGGAATTTAGTTTACTTTTAGGATTTTCATAGCTAACTTCTATTCAGCTCTTCAAAAGGAAGACACTGCTCCCATTCAGTGTCTTCAAAAGGAAAAATAAGTCACACATCTCTGGACTTAAAAGAATTAAATATTTCCTTTTAAGAAGTCGCATTTATTGATAGTCAAGTGCCTCTGTTTTACACAGGCTTGTCTTGGCCCAGAAGACCAAAGCCATCCATTCAGATTAAAGAAAGCCTAAATCTCTAAAAAGTACCTCTGAATGAGCCTTGAGCACTGTTGCATATTTTGTACAAACCTGACCAGCCCACAGCACCGTTACAAACGTCTGTTCACATTGCTAGGCGAAATAGTTGTCTATTTCCAGAGATAAAGACTTTACCTCCAATGCTCATTCTGTTTCTTTATTACAAGGAGGGGGAATACTAACTCAGAATGATCCTATGGCTGCTACAAGATTAAATACTCAGAAAAGAATGACACACCTGTCAGAAACTAGCCTTGGTCCTATAATGCTTACAGTTACATGGAACTTATGAGTGCAGTAATCCATTTCCCATTTACAAACAAGTGCTCAGCATGCTTTTCAGTTTTCAAGGGTAATGAGGCCTTGATACTTCAATCCTTCCCTGAATGGGGAAGGAGTTATATGGCCAGACAAATGCCCCCCAAATGAAATTGGGATATTGACTGAGGAGTATTTAGCACTATTTAGTTGGAAATAGTGGTGGTAGGAAAAATGTCCTAATAGCCTTAAGAGAAGGTATTTTCAAACTTTAAGATATTAATGGAAAATATCTTTCTGATCATCAAACATTATTTTCTATGTTAGGACCAGAAGGCTATGTAGGGAAATAGAATGCTTGGGAAGTACAGAGTAAGTTATAGGGAAACCCCACCATTTAGCAAAAGCAACATTCCAAGAGAATGTGGAAGGATAGACTCCAAAGATAATTTTCTAAGTAGATAAAATATTTTCACAGCTGCCTGCATACTCAGAGAACCTTTTTTTTTAAGAATCTCAGATTTGTTTGTAATAAGAGAGTATACCTCAAACCATATTAATATATGTTTAATATAACATGGTTAACATCTTAGAAATATGTGGCCATACCTATCGAAAGCAGAACAGCCAGAACAATGGCAGAGTAAAAATCTTGGTTTCAGGAGGAAGAGACTTTATTGTTCTCTATAGCAATAGCACTTACACTTATATACTGCTTCGTAGTGCTTTACAGTCCTCTCTATGCGGTTTAGTCAACTTATTCCCCCTAACAATCTGGGTCCTCATTTTACCAATCTCGGAAGAATGGAAGGCTGAGTAAGCACAGAACAAACTGCACAAGTTTTTGAAAAGTTAAAAACCTTAGAACGTACCCAATCTAGCATAAATAATATTCTAAAATGACCAATGTTCCACATTTAATCTATACTTCATGATTTATAATGTACCTTACAAAAGTTAGCACCAACTGACTACCATCCACCATCTTACTAGAGCATTTTGACTATTTCCAATATTTTTGTGCAACCTGGAACTGTTTTGTCCTCTCAGGTGGTAAAAGTTTCTGTTGTTAAAAAATAATGACCTTAGAAACTAGTGTCACACATCACCACTCAGCTGGCTATTCTGGAGACCATCCCTGATACCAGTGCGCTTCAGGGAAAGGCCTGAATGTTCACAGTTTAATGAGTGACATGTAGAAGTAGCAGTAATTGCAGCAGATGGAAATTGCTGTTTAACTTTCTTCAAAACTGATGAAGAATGCTGAGTTCGTAATTCATTACAGAGTGGAGTCCGCTTCAGTTTTATCACCCGACCAGTCACAGACTTTCTGGATGAGGGAGACTTTGGGATCATTTGGCCAACTTCTCCATGGTCAGCATTTCTAAGAGAGGCCTGAGAATTTTTAGTCAATGGTAAGGTCCTTCCATAAAGAGTACTGGAAAGCTTTTTGCTTGTTAAAGAAATATCTCTGCTAGGACACTTAAGAGCCGTTTGGGCTTGTGAAGATGCTGTTATCTTTAAAGAAGCTGAATTCTTAACTTTGATGCAGGTACTTGTAGAGGGGCCAGAGAATTGAACTGGCTTCCGACCTATTCTGCTATTCAGCTGAGTTTCTTCCTCATCAGGAGAACCAAATATTCGTCTGTAAAAAAATCATTAAGTCCACTGAATCCAGTAAAGACAGAAGTATATTCAACATATACAAAAATTATTTTACTCTAATATCTGCCTAAAATGGTATATACATATATATCAGACATTTCAAACATCAAGGATGAGGATTTCAGCATATTTTCAAGTATATTTTTCTTATGTTTATTATTGTATTACAAAATGGGCTTCCATTTTATTTTATTTTATAGTAAAGAGAATAACACATGGATTTTTATGAGAGGAGGAGGAGGAGCAGGAGAAGAAGCATCTCTCCATTACTCATTAAAGAAGTTTCCATTGAAGATTGATTGTTCACTGCCCAGAATCTCTTGTTGAGATGGGTTATTCAAATTTAATTAATTAATTAATTAAATGAGACTCTTAAAGCAAAAGCACTTTTATTTCAGGTTTGAGTGGAGACCAGAAAAAAGTTGCAGTATTTTAGTGAAAGCACAGGTGCTGCCCTTGCACAAGGTCTAAAACATTTCTTTCTAATATCAAAACAGATGCACAACTCTAGTATTTTGTAATAATATTGTTTAACATATTGAAAGGAAGGTTCAGTGATCCTTCTATAACACACTAACTGCATATCGCATGGTAACACATGATTCTTCTATCAAAAGATACTGAATCTAAAAACTTAAGTGCAAATATAACTTTTATTCCACTTAAAGGCTACAACAGGCAAATGAACCACAGCACCTACCGTTTATGTACTGGAGACATATTCTGAAGGCTTCCTTTCAAAGAATGCTCCTCAAGAGTCCAACACTCTATCAGCTCCTGTGGTACTCGCCAGTAGCTGGCACCTTGTAATTTCAAACATATTTCACAATATTCAAGATACATAAATTTGGTAACTTCTACCTGAAATTCACTGATATGCAATAAGGAATTTGTTAATCCAACTGGAAACATATCTTCATTACAAAGTTTCGCTTTGTGTTCCCATAATTATAGAGCAATATTCTGAATATCTTTTTCTACATACAAAATTGAATTACATCCAGCATTATATAAGTGAAGTCACTGACATAAAAATATGAAATCTTGTTCCTTCTCCGCATCCTTTTACTCAGTGGTCCCCAACCTATCCAGCTCTGGAGCAGCAGCAGGCAGCAACAGTGGAGAAAGGGGTGGTTTCATGTGCACAACCTAATCCCATGCATCTGCAAATGGAGTTTTCCATACTTGCTCGCCACTTCTACGGCCCTATTCCCAATGGGCTTGTAGACCAGAAGCGATTTGCAGACCAAGAGTTGGGGACCCTACTTTTACTGAACACTTCCCAACCTTTGGAAGATTGTCAACCTACTGTAGTCATTCTGTTTGTATGTGGAGGGAGGGAGATATTGCAGGACGCAACTCCTACTTTCTAATTTACACTATTTTTTATCTTTTTATAATTTGTATAATACTATTTTTTACCTTTCTCAATTTCAGGCAGTTGCCTGAAGTAGTAATATGTTTCTAAAAAGGGAACAAAATAATGGCTATTACACTTAACTGACTTCTTTAGGGAAGTGTATACATGTTTTCAAAATTCACAATACTTGTTCTAGCAGAAATGAACTATCATGCCAGCACATGATAGCATGAACCCAATATATGATATTTGAAATGGTATTTCTTGTATTTCACAATTGCTGATTAAATTTTTACTATAGTGAAATAATAGATGGTTGGTTGGTTGAGCCTGAGTAATAATGCCAACATACTGGTTTGTTACCTTAAGAGCCAGTTATTCCTTTTTTCTTATGTTGCTAAATGAATAAAATGAATAAAAAATAAATGAAAAAATACCTAACCTGGCTAACTTTCAACAGCCGACTCCCAACCATAAATATATATTTTTTTAAATTCCATCTTCAAATGTAGAAACACATACATATACACACACCTCTTCCTTCCCAAGCCTCAAATGCATCCATTATCTTCTTCAGTTCTGTTACTGAATAGTAACTCCATATGTACTGGATGTTGTTTCCAGCCTCTCTAGGAAAAAAATGTAGAAAAAGACATTGTTTTACTAAATGAAAAACAAAACTTTGCTAAAGTTACTTTTTAATTACCCAAGAATCATAAACATGTGAACATTCATTCCTATGATCTAAACATTTAAGATGATAACATTGTTGAAATTTCTCTTTAACAAAAGTAGCAGCACCAACTTATAAACTATTCTTCAACAGAAAATTGAAGGATATTAAGATTAATCTGAATGGGTCCCGGAGTTGGATTATCATATTGCATTTAAACCATCATTTATTTTCATTATATGATAAAAAAAGTTATAATAGCTGAGTTCATACATCATAGTGGACCATGAAGCACAGTTTATAAACTGCAATTGATGACTCCATATTGTGTTAAAACATAATTTTTGGTTTGGTATGATATCTGAACCCAGAGACTGATATATATTCCAGAAACTATGGTTGAAAGAAAGCAACTTAGCCAGGGGTGGGATGCAAATTTTTAACCACCGGTTCTGTGGGTGTAGGTAGGTGGGTGTGGCCAGGTGGTCATGTGACTGGGTGGGCATGGTTTTTGTTTTTGTTTTGCTTACTGGGCCTCAGGGAAGCCTCCTGGGAGCAAAAGCAGGGCGCAGAAGGGGCCGCACAGCACACTCCGCAACCCGTTTTTTGCCTCCTGGGCCTCAGGAAGCCTCCTGGGCAAAGCAGTACAAGAGCGAGAGGGGGGTCAGCTGTGCTGCATAATTTAGATTAGTTAGAAAGCAAGAAATCCAACTATTTCCTACTTTCTAGTCAATCTAAATCGCGCAATACAGCTGATCTTCGGAAAACAGTTGATCGGTGGGGGGGAGGAAATACCTTGATCTTCGGAGCAAACCTGTTCGCTCCCAGCTGATCTTTTGAGCTACCAGTTCACCCGAACCAGGCCGAACCGGTAGGATCCTACCCCTGAACATAGTGCAATAAGGCACAATTATGTGTTTAAGTGAACTATTTTATTCAGCCAAGCACCAGCACTAGTATTACACTGTTGTCATTGCTGAATGTTGATAACATGATTTGTAAGATTAAATGTAGCATTCTTTCTTGCCTAATTATTTTTACATAATAACTCCATCTAGCTATCCAGATAAATAGATAGACCTTATGCAAGCAAACTGAATGGACAACAAGAGTAACATTTAGTTCTACTAAATGTTTAGTTCAATGATTTAATTACATTTGATTGAATTACTGTTTAATCTATAGTATTTTCTGGGCAATGTATGTTTAAATATTCCAGGCTTAGTTTTATTAATAACAATTAAGATCCAGAGTACTACACAGACATAACAGAAGTAGAAATCTAGTTACATAACTGGATTTTCTGTTGCTCTCCTTTTCCTATATATCCTTCAAACCTGAATTAGATGTACTCAAACTTTCCAGAACAGAGAAACTGAGTATCTGCAGGCATATTCTAGCAGATGTTAACACACCAATAGAGAAACGTAATTGGAAAGTCTTAATATTAAATCTTTAATGTTACTCTAAGTAAT